ATTTTAAGTGCCAGATACGTGGTGTTACATGAGGTGATGTGGGACTTCTTTTAAGACTTTGGGCTACATTACAAGTTCCTGATAAATGATATCATATAAGGTAATGTCTTGCTTTTGAAGTCCCACATCACCTGAGCGAGGCGCGTCGCCCACCTTGCGAGGCGTGCTGGCGCTGAACACGTAGGAGTGGGGCAGCAGGCCCTCGGAGATGCCTCCGGTGCGGAAGGACCTGGAGGCCGAGGACACGGAGCAGTTGCTGGATTTGTCCGAGGGGAGTCCGCAGGATCCGCAGACGACCGTTCGGCTCCTCAGGTTGTACTCGCTGTCGCCACAGGTGCTGTGGGCCACCTGCTGAGGCAGAGTTTCAGAATAAAAGCGTCTCAATACGTCCTGAGGTTGGTTGCAGGTGTTGCCTTGTGATGATGATGATTGTAAAGGCAGATGGTTGTTTTAAACCTCCTCTTGAAGCTCAGTTTTATTATTTAGCTTTTTCTTAATGGATGGCTATTGTTATTTTAACTTTAATTAGATGTTTTTTATTGTAAATCATTTTTTGAGCTTGTTTATTAAAGGTATAAATCAAGTTTATTGTCATATTTTTATTTATATTTTTGAACTTTGTCTCTATGTCTTGTTTACATGACTAACTGAAATCGTGAGGCTAAAAACTTACATCATTTTTATTTTATCATTTTACTCAACCAATTAAAGCATTTAGTGTTGGTGCTCGACCCTACACTATAAGAACATAAACTTTTAAAGACGTATTTTTCCCATTTTTGAAGTATACAACCATGTTAATAATAATACTAAATGTTTTTAAAACAAGCTTTTTTATTATTATTATTTTGGACATAAGACGAATCAGTACTATGTGCAGATTTATTTACAAATTGATAATTTCATGGCGTGATTAGGTTCATTTCGTCTCCTCTGATTATAGGTATAAGGTTTCTTTATACATGTCAAAGTAAAAACAGCTCCTATCTAAAAAAAAAAAAAAAACTCATTATTTGATAAAAACTAAAAGAAACCTTATACTGATCATTTAATAGTTCTTTCACGGGCAGAACCATCAAATCAAAGCATGTTTAAGGTTATAAAATCAAAGGAGCATGCTGAATAAAGATTTAAAACTCAGGTCCCTGATAACATCTATTATTTATCAAAAACAATTAATAAGTCATTATTATAGCACCATTGAACTGATTTAGGTCGATTAAATCTGGAGGCAGCTTTGTTCCCTTTACAACACTAGAAAAATAAAA